CTTAGATAAAATAATTTTTAAAAAATTTTCTTTTACGTTTGTAAAAATTATAATTTGTACTAATATTTCGCCTTTTGTCTTTGGATTTTATTTATATTAACACTAGAAAAAGTTTGTTAGTTTTAGATTTGTGATATTTTTTGAAATTTATGTTGATCGCATCAGCTCATTTTTTGAAACTGCCTGTACATTTTCTTTAAATTTCATGGACCTGGTTTTGGGTCCACGGGGCTGCAAAACTTGAATGTTTTTGTATTGGGCGACAGTAATTTAGTATTTTTGATCTGGGCGGCACTGTATTAGAAGTTTTGCACTTATTGCGACAACAAGAGTACTAATCTTTTAACAAGAAGTACGAAGTTTCTTAGTAATAAGAACTTAAGCATTGATATCTTAGTATTTGGCAAACTATAACAAATTTGGTAGACAAGTCGACAAATTAGAAATATGATAAGTATGCGACTAGAAAAGCCAAACAGAATTTCAAGAGAAAGTAAGACTAAATTTTCCTTGACATACATGACAGCGAGTAACTGACCTTAGTAACTTACAATCTCAATAAATAAATAATAAATCAGATTCCAAAATAAATAAATTTAATCCAAAAAATTCCTAAATTTACCATGAAAAGTCTTTTTAACACTCACGCATCATATTAATCAAAAACAGATTATATAATAAGCGAAGATATTTCGCAAGAAAATTATTATGAAATACTTCACAATATCCATCGTAAAGAAAGAGAACAAAAGAGAGAAGAAAAACTGAGGCTAACCCAATTACCAAAGTCATTATAAAATGCATGGGTAAAACCACACATTATAAACACCTGCGTGCTATAGTAATACGTGTTGCACGGAGTTTATCCGCTTGCGTGCGGTTTGCTTAAGTGCACACATATAAGCGTCTAAGCACTTGTATGCCCTAGGAACTTCAGTTTTTGAATTTTATGTGCTTGGCCGTTTACTGTTGGCATTTTAATTTGAGCAGTTTTTATGTACGAATTGGGTTTGTCTCTCGTGAATTACTATTATTTTTCGATATGTATACATCTATTAATTGCCAAAAATTGGTGTTATATTAATTATTCTCCTTAATTTCTACTATATCTATTATTCTATTATTATTATTAAAAAAAAATTGAAACGCTGGATTGGGCGTCCGATTTTGGTTTAGAGTTGGAAAATACGTTAGAAGATATGACAGACGAACTGAAACTGGCAATTTGATAGCTAACGAGAAATTAGAAATGAGGGAAAGTAGTCTAATTGAGATTCAGATGCAACGATATGTCAGGGTTGACGTATGAACATGCGGTGAGGAAGTCTAAATGCAAAAAGTGTTTAGAATTTATGAGGAAGGTGGACGGTGGCTTTACGGACTTATCCGAATCGTTTATAAAAGCTAAGAAATACTCAGGATTAAGTGCTGTGCATTTCTCCTACCTTAAAGAAGAATAGTTTCAGATGTGTCAGACTCAAATGGGTTAGTTTAAGGCTTTGTTTGATCGATACATATGCAAAGAATTTGTTAGGAATTTAGTCACTCAGACTATCTTAAAAGACATGCGGCAAAAACTGTTCCTGTTTTGTGACGGACCATGACTGCATAAAGCTTCGCTTTAATTATTTGGGTAGTTTGATTGAGGTATTGCTTTTTAAGAATATAAAATTTGTAATCACAGTTTGTCAGCCGACGAAGAATGGAAAAAGTGTGCTATTATAATAAATTAATAATAACACGTTTTATTTGATAGATTTCTTTTCGTTATTACACTAATATACTGTTTCTTCTATTTTATTGCAGTAGTTATTACGCAAGTTTTTTATATTAGTTATCGATTATAAAATTAGTTATGAGTTGTGAAAATTATGTATATAACGTATTTTTAAATTAGAATTAAAGAGATATATATATTTTGTTCTGTTAAGATATTTTTTATTCAGTGCGTTTGATTAACAGTAGTTATTCATTTTAACATTGAGTTAATAATAACAATTATTAATGGTACATAGGCCTGATATATTTTCAGGGAAGCAGCCATTTAAAATAAATGCTAACGCGCCTAGTGCAATACCTCAGAGGTGGTGCGGAAAATTGCATACAATCGTTCAATTAAGAGAAAAAAAACCTATAGGAGACACTAGGAAATACAATTACAGTGATAATTTTGTATTAATGAACAGATAAATATGTAGAAAAGTAGTGACAATTCAAGAAAATACGTTAAGTCTATTTGTAAAGAAAAGCTTGCACCAAAATAGTAAATTTAAGTGTTCAAACGCAAATAATCCGAAATTCAATATTCTACTTCTTATCTTTGCCCATATAATTTATTAAGCAAACACAGGCACAATCGTACACAAAATTTTTGTCACAGCATATATCCTACTATAGAATACATATGCTCATAGTGGACGCTTACAACTATATACCGCGCAAACATCAGCAATCGTGTTTGTTTCAGTTTTTTGTTCTCTCTTACTCTCTGCAAAACCTTTATTTATTATCAGAGACGACAAAACAAATAGACGTTCCAACATTTAAAATTAAGAGATTTTTGCAGGGATTTTACGTGTGTTATCAATAACAGTGGTAACGCTGGTAATTAGCAGCTGTACGTATGCTTTCTCCTTCAGTCTTACGATTTGTATGAATGGGCAAAGATTCTGCTAATAGTTTCTTGACATGACGTCACATTGTTTCAAACGTTTGCAAAGCAGAAGCTCCTGCAATTCTATGTTTTTAAGTAAATATGGGCTATGGTAAGAATATAAGTGTGTTTATACGAGAAAAGACCTAACAGGGGGTTTGTATGTACACAGCAAAAATAATAGTTTTTCTTTTCATTGTTTCTTTTAAAGCACGGAAGAGTTTTTAATTCTATGTTCGGCAAATGCTTTGAAAAATCACAATGAAAAATTTCATATCAACAAACATAAAGTAATTTTTTATTAATAAAAAAAATTAGATTGTAGTTTATTATATTTATCCTTACTTTATTTTATTTATATATTTATTAACTTTATTTGCTTAAACTTATATATATGATATATATTATTTAATTATCCTAGCTTATGCAATTTGAACTGTTTTTTATTTTTCTGGTTAGTATACTATAGGCATGCTGTCGGGCCAGGGCTTTCGAATGTTTCTACAATAGGACTTAATGTAAAGTGCAGCAAATAACGTCTATGCTCGCTGAAGTGATCGTGTCCATAATGTTGCATGAAATTAGTTTCCCAATAGCTAATTTATGTTTATTTTCACATCATTCTACTGCATTACATATTAGCAGCATTTCAAAGGTTTTGTCAACGAACTTGTCGAAAAAACGAATAACACTTTTGACGAGTTACATGTTTTAAAATTAAACAATAAAGCTGCCAAGCACTAGTTGAAACGAAATCAAAACACAGGAACACAGGAGTATTTGAAAGTCCCCATAGTTACAGATAAAGCCGGAGTTAAAACATCTCATCGGGAGGTATGGTTTATTTTGACAGGAAAATTAAACCAGAATTGCTTGGAAAATGTTTTCGAAAAATTGCAATCTTTGTTAGGAAATAACGGATGTTCGTTAGTGGATGAAATAAAATATCTCATTGTAAGATTATATTCATGAATTCGCAAGTTGGAGTGAACGTGGACGAAAGCAGATAAACATTTAACTAGTCAGGGCCTATATGAAAGAAAACGACTTTAATATTGATTGTAATGATAAAGCAGGTACATCGGAAATGCTTATAACGAAGCAAGCGAAGGAAAAAACATAGAGGTACTTTTCAGGATATATATATGCAGGTATCTTAAATCTTAAGCGGGATTTTACAGGCAGTTCATGCGAAAATTTTATACAACACAATTATTATATCGAAGGACCGCCGTATCTGCAAAATGATGAAATTTTTGAAATATACCGGTACCAGTATGAAATGTACGTAGCCCAACATGCATAAGTTAAATATAATTTAACTAATTTTTGATAAGATTGTGCAGAAAATGAAGGTTTGGTTTAAATAGGCTTCATGCAAAATAAAAAGAAAAAAATGATATTTGCTACATATATACCCCCAGTTAAGTCTTTTTTCGTCCATACACGTTTATATGCATACCGCAGGCTGTATTACTTAAAAATACAGACTTGTAGGTGTTTCTGTTTTGCAAACGTTTGAAAGAATGCCACGTCATATCAAAAAACTGTTAACAGAATCTTTGCCTGTAGAAATGAGAGTGGAAGAAAAAGCATAGATATGGTGCTAATTAATGGCGGTACTGCTTTTATTCATAACAAAACACAATAAATCCGTAATAATCTCCTAGTTTGTATTTTGAGCAATATGTTGGACCATCTTGTCAATTTTTTGGAATTTCTTGAAACCGAATTCTCTCGAGTTGTGTTTTGGTTTTGTGCTCAAAAAAAATTTATTTCGTCAAAGCTTTTTCCCATTTTTTTTTCTCTGAACTGACTTAAACTAAACTTAATGTAAAAGTTTGAAAATAGAACATAAATTATTTCAAAGGGCTAGGGCGCCTATATAAAGAATTCTCTTATGCATTTACTTCAATCAAAATAAATGATCCTGTTGATAGAGTAGTAAAAATAAATCTAGCGGTAACACGTGTTAACCTACTAGCAAATTTTTTTTCAAATTTTTAATACTTACCGTAAGATTTAAGAGAATTAACTTTATCTGTAGTTTTATCGCGTGGCGTAGCCACATTAAACAATGCTTTTATTGAACGGACATTTGACCTCAATATCGCGAATTGATCAAAGTTTTGTCCTTGATGCGATTTTTCGATCCTCGTTTAAGTAGGATATTTTTGGTTCACCCATTTCCCATTTCTTAATTGGTATCATAACATCTGTAGACGAGTTGGTAAAAAAACAGGAGATATATACAACAGCATTTCAAAAGGTAGAAAGGAAGAACTTTCACGCCAATCTAAACGGTGGAAAAGAAAGGTTTATTCGTAATTTCCCAATTGCAGAGAAAAGTTATGTTTGCACATAGTATGCATATGTATGCATCAGGGACGCTACAACTGTCCAGAGGTGTTGGTAAATGCCACAATTGAAGGCGAAGGAGCCAGGCTGAAGTACCCTCAGTTACATCTCTAAAAGCAATTCATGACAAAACGAAGAAGCAAATTGTTGAGAAGCCTTAAGTGTCAATGTTTGATGATACAAGAACTATGGAGATCTAAAATAAACTGGAAAACGCCGATCCCTGGAAATTGATACGACTTCTGGCATGCTTGGTACAAAAAGTAGCAAGACGTAAAGGAAATTCGTACCCCACGATGTTGTCACGACCAATTCACAACAAGCAATAAGTCAAATTTGAACTAAATATCTTCGTCGACGCTAGCGAAGCTGTCTTCTCAACTATAACGTATTGGAGAATAATCTGCTCAGATAGCGTTTATGTTGCTTTCACTATTGGAAAAACTAAATGTAAGCTTTTGTAAACATTGTTTATTCCTAAATTAGAATTACTTACCATGGTATTACGAGTGCGTTTGAAAGACGCTGTATCAAGAAATCCCGATGTGCAACCACCAAATATAATATTTTGATCAGATTCCAAAATAATCGTTAATTGAATAAATTCCAATAGCGGATTGTACAAACGATTTATTTCAAATCGAATAGCCGAACCCCTGGACGAGCGTCTGGATGATAAGCCGTTGGCGCCTAACCATTTTTTGTTAAGCTGTCCAAATATTTTGCAGAAGCTACTAGAAAAGTGTCTTTGATAGAGCAACATCATATTTTTCAACAAAGGAAGCACACCTTTTTTAAAATGGTAGATGCCCGAATATTTTCTTGAATTAACTCGCCGATGGAAATTGCACGATCCTGTCAAACCATTGCAAATACGAGATGCGGTTTTATGTGACGACAACGAAAAACGTGGTGAATGCAAACAAGGCGTGGTCGAACAAATAATTAATGTGCATGTTTGCTCTGTTATAATATAAACTAGGTTCGCAAAACTTCATCGCCCTTCCTTTAAGCTAGCTATACTCAATGTGGTTGGTAAGTCTCAATCTGTGTCGACTCACTGTAGGGGAATATTGTAGATTAAATGTTTGGTATCTCTGCCGTGACTACTTAGAGATTTGCAAATAAAATTCAGACTGTTCTATTTTATGTATAAACATTCACGTTAGCTCATTTTCTATGTAAGCAACAAAAAAGTAATTATACTTTGCATAAATTATATTTGTAAATTTCATTTCTAGATCATTATTTTTATTGCTTATATCTTTCGTTGCTCTTATTGATCTTGTTAGGGTCGTTTCTGTTATCTTTCGACAGTGTACATCCTTGTATGAGTCTCCAGAAAGTGATTGTGAAAAATATGTTAAACATAAAACGTTATCTACAAAAGCGAACAAAGTTAGAATTTTAAGCATTTGCACATTTCGATAAACGTGAATAAAGTCAAAACAAACGAAGGATACAATTTGTTTAGACATACGGGTTGCTGATAAATATATTCAATTTGTTGTATTCGTAATATAGTTGATACTGAAGTCCACAAATTCCTATTGGTTACCTAAAGATAGAAATACAGTTTTTCATTTTGTTTTTGTTTGAATTGTTTTGTTTTACTATAACAACTATTCCTTTTACCCTAATTCCCACAATTCGACATAAAGTGATGTTTTTTTTACTTTTTCTCTTAAAAGAAAGTGTTTAAAAAAAAATTCCGAACTATTCTTTAATATACTTTAAGATCGAATATGAATTCCCCATTAATTAATGCTTAGAAAAAATTGTTTTTATTTTTTACGCTCTTAAGATAGTGAAATAATTTTGTCCTGCTAAATGTATAGATTAAACAATTTTTTTGTAACTTTATGATATATTCAGTACAGATTTTCCGAGTAGCGGGCAACACAGTGCCGTTGCGAAATATGCGCCGACTTAGTGCACAAATAATTGTACCGACACGTTATAAATGTTCAAACGCCTTATATAAGATATTGTATTTCTTGTGGTATGCTGTGTCTCACTTGAGTTGCTCCTCCTGGACGAAGTGCATAGTAATAATCATTAGAAAAAAGGAGTACTAGTTGTGGTGTATACAAATTTAATAATTAGATTTCGCATTTTTTTCCTGCTAAATGTATCGCGATTATGCGTTCAATATGAAATTATAAAAATGAAGTTTTTAAACAAGCATTTTATGATCAATTTTATGAAATTAAATCTAAAAAAATGCAGGAAGCTTTCTTCCATAAAAAGGAAGTTATTCAGTACTGAGTACTTCATTGACTCATACGAGTTGGAAAACGTTCACTCTACTTAGGGGTTCTATTCAATCAAAGATTACGTTTTAATTTGCGCATTAAGCTCTCTGTAAGTAAAGCTACGTCCGCGCTTGGTTTTATTAAAAAAAAGTACATATGTTCATTTAGACTTGGGTATGCCTCTGTTGTGGGATCTCGCTCCGACAGATATTATGTAGATTCAATTGAAACCGTTTAAAGGCAATTCTTGCTGTTTGCCCTTAGGAATTTGGGTTGGAACCACTTCGTCTCTCTGCTTTCTTGTGAAAATAGATTGCTTCTGTTGTCTTATCGTCACTTGAGAAACGTAGATTTATTCTTGATATTTCCTTCTTAACTAAGTTAATTAATGGTACTATCGATTCCCTCGCGTTACTTGGTCAGACAAGCTTTAATGTCCCTCCTTAATTGCTTCTCTAGGAACTATATTTTCATTAATCGTAATCAATATATATGTAATTATGAGCTGTTAATAGGTTCAGAGTTGCTTGCAGAAACCTAAATGACTTCACTTAATCTCAATATCGGATTCTTTAAAGTCTATCAATGCTTAATACGCACGATTTGCCTATTTCGTATTTAAACTAACTTGCAATTTTCACGCCTCACTAGGGTTCGAAAGTTAACTTGTGTTGTTATCTGTTGTCGTTTGCGAAGTTTAGGGGTTCGCTAGAAACTTGATTCTTTATTGGTTGTGGGTGTGCTTTCATTCTTATATATTTATTCATGAGCAATTATTTAATTTTTTTTTTTTTCTTTACTTGGCCTTATGTACTTTATGTTAGTTTTTAATAATAATTAGTATAAGATTTATTTCCAACAGTCAATTAAATTCGGCTGCTAATTTATTTTAGCTGAGTTTGAGTGTGTATACAAATAAAATAAATAAATAAAAAATAAATAAATAAAAATAATGACTCACAGACGAAAGCTGGTAAAACACAAGTACGAAAATTATGTTCAACGATCACCAGAAGAAAATCTCAACAAATAACAGAATACAGAAATGTTCTGAATTTATGTTGTACTACGAACGCGGCCTGCACCAAATTAGGCCTATTTTTAATTGTAGACATCTTTATTCTTGCCATCAGTAAACTATAAAAATAAATTCGATTTAGATCTCCTCTCTCGATTTTTCATTGGTGGGTATTAATTGCACTTCTCTTCGAATGTGCTCATAAAAAGGAAGCGCTCTGTTCATATGTCAACGTAAGTTATATATTATGTGAATACACCATTTTTATTGGCATGAAAATCAAATACCAAAATAAACTGTAATATACGTCTGAGTCAAAGTGATGCTGACTCGGCTTCGATAGATTAATCGTTTAACAGCCCACTATAACTTTCCTTTATTTATATTTCCTCCTTTTAAATTATATTTGCTTAACAAACTTACATTGTTCATATGTGTTTTGTTTTATCACTTGTAGTCCACATAATAATGGTTAACATAATGGTGTTGTCATATTGTTTGCATATATGGTTATGCTAATCGCGCCTCGAGCATGTGTATTCAGGGCTGACGTCGTATGTAATCGTCATAATGGTGAGTTGGCCTGCGTTATCGACCAGATGTACGTCAGCTCGGAGTTGTTTCAGTTTCATTTTCATCATTTCCTAAAGTCAACTACCTGTCAGTGGTCCTGCCGTTGTAAGAATGCTGAGTACTGTAAATTGACGGCAAGGTAATTGAGTTGATATATCAGGCCGTAAAGGCGCTTGTTAAAGAATTTGTTGATTTACTTTTACGACTACCTAGGATCGGGTATTTGGCTTGTTCATGAACCACCCATTTGTACTTTAGTGAGGCGTAACTGATTTATGTGGTGCCAAAATGTTATTAAAACGACCGAACGTGACTAAGGTTTTTAGAGATGATACCCAGGTCCCATACCTGTCTTTGACACAAACTTCCCCATTTTTTTGCATACTAGCATCAGAATTTCCATTTGTATACTTATTGCGCTAAACATCAAGAATTTTACAAATTTCGTAATAAGAGTTACCCCTACTTAAGAGCACTGAAAATTTTTAGACATCCTTTTTTTTTTTGTAAGCTTGCACATGCTTCAACAATATTAATTGTACTGTAGTGTGATCGCATACCGGCATACGCGTCCACTTTGAAGTGCGACAGAATTCTGTAGCAAAAAGAAAAACAAAAATCTGGCTGAGTATTGCATTACGAAATGCAATAGAATGCCAGGCGCCCCAATTAATTAGTGATTGCGTTAGCATTAAGTCACCTGTTAGGATTAAGTATAAATAGTGCAATTTTGAATAAAGAATTTTAATTGTTATCAAGCGATTCAAAATAGCAAGCGTATTAATCCGCTGAAATTTCAAAAGCGCCGCCTGAACCATAGAATTTAAGGCACGTCTCATGCCGAGATTCATTGGCAAATCTATGAGACGGAAGGACTTGGTGTTCTGAAGCCGAGCAGAATAAAGATACATCTGTTCACCACAACACAGTCGCTCAAAGACGGTCACACCATAAATACCACCCAAATACTTCCTGCCATATACCAACACTAATTATCTCCACAGTACAAACGAGCTTTATGCTTGTCGCGAGATGGTTATATATTTAAGATGTTTCTTCACTAATTTAGTGTACACTTATTTACTCAGAGTAATAAACTACGTTAGTTAAAGCTTTATAATACCAAGGGAGAATAACATCATGGCGTTGCGAAGTGTGGACGCACTTGTCATTGATGAACTAGATAGTTCGGGAAAAATGGGGATTTCAAAATTTATACCACTGGCACACCGCAGACGGTTACAAACAAAGAGAATACATGTGCTCCCACTCTTACGGGGACTAATAGGCAGAAACCTAATTACCGGACGGGCTAAACTTACGTCCTGGGCCACTCTATATTGGCCCATAACTTTTAATTGGAAACCACGAAGTTGGGTTTCACGACTTTATTGAATTAAATGAGAATTCTAACACTTCATACTTATTTTTATTATTACTTACTTATAGTACGTAACAAAAAAAGTTTATATATTTATATATATTATATTATTCTCATATACGCTAATTGAACACTCTTGGGAATAATTATAAATTTATAATTACCCATGCCTTAGTAATATGGTGTAAAAAAAATGTATATAAAAAATTGTTAAAAGATACAGAAGAAAGAAAAACCTGGCGTATTGACATCACTGTAGAGATGCATATATGTAGGTACCGATGATTATGCTGATTATGAAATTAATGATGACGTTGTTTATTAACAGAGGCTTCGGATTATTGTTCTTGACTGTCAATATTACATTGCATAAACGAATATGAAAGTTAATGCATTGCAAATGAATCAACACAGATTTCAAAATTTCACTTTTTATAAATTTGCTTTGCAATCAAAATAACGGATACTATTGAGTATGCGTGTTTGACTAATATTCAATAGAGTGAATTTCATACATTTCGGATCAAGGACATGATTTATATGGACTTTACATTTTCAAAGTGACGACATAACACTCTTGACGCGAATGTATCCATCTTAAACGTTATAGTATTTTTTTTCTTTATAATAAAAAAAGGCTTGTTATCCAATCAATAAATTCGTTGTTAATTTATAAATGAACTGAACCTTTTTTATATGAAACACACACACTTTATGTGTTTCTAAAGACTTTATTAACAACGCAATTATCTTTTAAAGAAACATTTTTATGGTTTTTACATTCGTTACTGATTTATTTCAATTAGAGAGTGCATCGATTTTCCTTCAACGTGGCGTTATGTAACAATTATCGTTTCAGACACCACGCTTGTCCTTTTCATAGTAATATTACAATATTTAGCAATTTACCATAGGGAGTATAATAGGCGATTGTAATGATTGAAATGAGTTTTTTAGACCTTTTGCAAACATATTTTTAATCATGAAATTGTCTTTAGAGCGTTTCCTCTGATTATTCCAGAGCCGCATTTTTAAAGCCATTTTCAATTTGATTAATGACAATTGAATGTGCATAATATTCTTTTTTTTCCACATACTAGTTTAGACTCTAATATATTTACTGATAGGACTAATAAAACTCTTCACCT